TTTAGCTGAATTAAATCGAAGTCCCTATAGATTTTATCGAAGTGAGTCAATGATTTAATATTGAATATTTTAGGGGTGGGTTTACATTAATTTTTTTTATCTGAATATTGAATAATTATTTTTTTAGATTAATTAAAATTATATATTTAGAATTATTAAAATATTCAATAATTTTAACTTTATTTTTATTAATATTTTATGTAGAATAGTAATTTTTATACATGGAAACTTCTCGAATACAATATGATAATTAATATATTTATGTTGGAAAATTATTTTACCAATAATTTTGGTTTATTTTTATTAATTTTTGGATTTAAATTTATATTATTAATAATAATTAGTAAAAAAATTAAATGTTTAAAAGTTATAGAAAAAATTAAAAATTTCTTTAATATGTTTTCAAAACATAAACTTAAATTCAAGATTAATAACTTAATTTAATAGTAATTTATAAAAAATTTTAAGTATTAATATATTATTTTTAATATTTTAAATTTATTTATAATAATAAATTTTAAAATATTTATTTAAAAATAATTAAATCTCAAATTTTTATTAGGAAAGGTAATAAGTAACCTAAAGAAAGTAACATAATGATAAATTTGTCTAATACTGATAAAAGTTGATTTCCGGCTCCATGTTAATAGAATAAAAAAATATTAATGAAAATTCAATAATAATTGATTTAAAGGATAAATGATAATGAATTTAAATTTATAGAATTAGAGGTAAAAAATATAAGATAATAATTGATGATAATAATGCAATTACACCTCCTAATTTGTAGGGATAGATCGGAGGATAGCATAAACATTAGAAAATATCATTCAGGTGAATATGAATTAAAATGTATTTTATAAATAAATGCATATTATATATATATAAATATATATATAAGTGTATATATATATATATATTATATATATATATATATATATATATAAGATTATGAAAGAACTTACGAGTACGTATGAGGGCTCAATGCAAGAATATTTATCACGTAAAAAACTTGAGTTCAAATATATCAATATCAATTTTTTATAATATATTAGAATATAGAAAATCATAGAAATATATTTTTATATAGGCGATAAACTTAAAATTTGATATTGAATATTTTAAATCATTTTACAACTACACACACTATAATATATAAATGCAAAATAATTCCGTAAATAAATTTCAATAAATCAATTGCACACATGCACACAGCTGGTATGTAGATTTTTATTAAATTTATTTTTCTGAATTATTTTACACTTATATATATGTAGTAGTAAAATTTTCAATATATAAAAAATTTTTAAATCGCCGAAATATATTTTATCATTTTTTCTATATTCCAATATAATATATATATATATATATATATGTATATAAAAAAATTGATATTGATATATTTGAAACTCTAATTTACTGGATGATATACTGAACATCCTTGCATTGATTATATATTACTCAACGGACGTTCTTTCACGTTATAAGTTATTGGAGCAAATTATACAATAGCATCATAATCAAAAAGAATCAAGAATATCAACATATCCCTTATATAATATATATATATATATATATATATATATATATAATATATATACGCACATATGTGCATAAGGATATATAAAATTTATAAAAGTAGGACTTATTAGCCTTGCTACGCTACTGCCTTTGCTACGGAAGGCCAGAAAGCATTTTCAGGCGCGGCATCTCGGTATACCGGCACGGTAGAGGAACAAGGAGAACACGTGATTATCGGTCCTTGTCTCTCTACGGTGCGTCCGCCGTGAGCAATGCAATGGTGTATGTACGTGTACAGACATGCACCACTACATAAAACCCGAGAATTGGTTTCTCGGCGTTGGCAACACTGAAATCGGAGTTTCGCGTTGTCACCGCGCGAGGTCTCCAACATCAATTCGGAGTTTGGCCGACCGACCTGTCGACCCTTAAGGCCTGAGCAGAAATGGCTGACTTATACGCAAAACCACTGTTTATGCCCTAAGTCTTTGTCTTAGGTAACGCACAATACTGTGTTAATGTTTCCTGTCTTGTGTAGTATACGCGACGTTTTAAGGAATAAACGTAAAACGTATGTATATGTATAAACACAAATAACAATTCTATTATACAATTAATATGAATATTTTATAAATAGTTATGACATAATACATTTTAACTTATAAATATGTAATAATAATATTTCATATTCGAAATATATTTCAATAACTGTGAATATAACCTAACTTTTTGTTCAAAGAAATTTATCTAATGTACTTATAATAAAATGTTCTATTAAATTAAATATTATTTGATTTAATAGTATTATATGTTTAAAAATCTTGTTAATTATTTTTGTATAACATTTAACAAAATCTATATGTATGTATACATATATTATCTAATGTTATCTATATCCTTTTATTAATTCCTTTTAGTTAAAATGGAAGATCATCACTATTGTGAACCTAATATATACATATTATACAGACAAAAAGTGTCAAATGAAAATGAAAATAATATTTCTATATAAGAAAAAATGGGTGATGATGCTTCTAATTGATATATAGAGAACGTCCATTTCTGTACAATAAAGCCACAAAGATTTTAAAAATATAATAATTAAAGATAATGCTTGAAAGAAATTTCTAAAATAATGCAAAATAAAAATTATGGTAAATATCAAATATTTTTTATTAATATTTCTTATTATGTCTTATTACTAATATATTATGCTAATTATAATGATAAAATCATCAACATTTTTACAGGCAACTTTTATACACCTGATTATTGTCAAACTAGATGCCATCTCTTAGAAATCAATATAATCGTGAGAAACGAATATAGATAGTCAATATAAGAGTGGAAGTGGTGCTTCAACTCATAAACCCTTCACATTTTATACGCAATTATCTTTTCTTGACAATTATATCAAGAGACGAAGGTTATAATGATAATTGCTTGAAAATCCACATTTTAATTGTATAATATGTATATATACTTATATATTCTTATATTTTCAGAACATGCAGTAATATAAAAGCAAATAAAACTTCAACATCTACATCATCTTTAGAACTATCACCAGAAATTCCACAATCTAGTTCGAATGAAGTATTTGATACCAAAGAAAAATCAAGTCATTCTATGCACGAAACAGAAGATAATAATTTTAATGGTAAAAATAAAGAAAATATTTTAGAAGATACTCTTGAAGCACATGTAACACATAAACGCAACATTGACAAAGATTCACAATTATATGTATTACATACAAAACCTAAATCTAAAAAAAGTAAAGTCGATGAAACAAAGGAATTAGAAAATATATTTACATCGGTTAGCCAGAAAATCATCAATGTTTTAGATAACAAACGTGAAAACAATAATGAAGATGAAGCATTTACACAATTTATTGTTGCTCACTTGACAAATCTTCCACAATCTGAGAAAAATATAAGAAAGAAAATGATACAGATGCTTTATTTTCTCCAATATAAAGCAAATGTAATATTTTTTGTTTTTAATGATTTTTATTTTTTTCATAAATTATTTTTATTTTTTATTAGTAAAGTATTTTTTATTACAATATGTGATACATTACTATATGTGATATTATAAAAAAGACTGTTTCTTTTAAGTAAAATTTTAAGTTTAAAATAATATTTTCAGTTACATTGTTTTTTAAATCTAATTTAATTTTATTATTTAATACGCAAAGCAATATTTTTGTTTAAGATTTTTTATTTATGTGATAGGTATCTTAGATAGATGGATAGATATGTGATAGATGATCTGATATGTGATCTTCAATTATTATATTAACTATACTATACTATATATGTGATATTATTAAAACTGTTACATGTGATATAAGATCTTAAAAGGTAATTTTAGAAAAATAATGTTTTTAATATATGTACTATTTTGTTTTTTTAAAAGTGAGACGTTATGATTTTATTATTTTTATTTACTTATTAATTTGTATGTGCATTAATAGTTCTAAAGCCTTTCCTTATGAACTATGTTTATTATTTAATGCTTCATTTGTATACATTTGTAATGTATATCTTGCTAATTATATAATTATTATATAAAAAAATTCGATTTGTGGTATTTGTTGTTATTTACATAGATCTTTATTACTAGATCACATCAACTTAGATCAACTTTAAAGCTTTATTGTAAAATTGTAACAATATAGTTGAAACATTATGCCGTATGACTAAAGACAAATAATAAAAACAAATATATAATGACTTTCATTAATAAATAAAAATAATTATAAATATAAGTAATACTATGCGCATTAATTTTTGCTTGTAATGACAATTCACTATTAAGAAAACTTTTCTTAATTGCTGCAATGTATAAACTTTCAGAAAATAATGTTAATTAGGTTGTAGAAATTAATATTAATTGATCTAGCAGTAAGGAGATAATCGGTATATAACTTTACATATAACAATATGCAAGATCGGTACGGCATTATTGTCAAATTCTAATTATATATAACACAAGAACTATATAAAGATTCCAACTTTATCTTATTCATTTTTTTACTTAAGTAGAGCTCATTTTAGAAATTATGTTGTCAAAAAGCTACTAAAAAATATCAAGCTATATAATTCTTGAACACATTTTTTTTTATACTAACATTTTATTAGAAAAAATAAGATTAAATAAATAACCGAAAATTAAATGTATGTGTATAGAAACCATTATTTTTATATTATTAAATATTTTCACCATATGTACCTCTTCGCACGTAATCGTATTGCCACGTACTCCCTTCAGGTGATATGAAATATTTACACAATGTGTCTCTTTGTTTCGAACAGAAGATACGGGTTCATTATAACATAGGTTTTCCGAAAAAGACACCACTACTAACTGCATATCCCTTTAAAATAAAATAGTATGGTTAATAAATTTAAAAATATACAGTAATAATATTTTAATAACAATATTTATATACACATAGATGTATCGCATTTAATTTAATTATTTATTATATTAATTATTAATGCTTAAAATTTTTTTTATTTATCAAAAGTTTAAACACAAAATTAAGTTTTATATATATATATTATATATATATATATATAGACTAATTTATATACTAGGGTGTCCGGTAATGGTCGCCTCACCGTCGTGTGCAGGTAGAGTAAGTTAAAACCGAATAGGAAAGTCCTCTACCGTTTTGCGATTTTCGCATAATTATGTGTTATTAAATAAAAAGATCGGCCATCTAAGCGCGCGACGAGATGAGACGGCCCCCTGTCACACGATACACGGCGCGCGCAAAGCGGAGGAGGAGCGAAGCGATGGCTACGAACGGCGCGTAACGCTAAAGCTCCGCGACAACTATTTTCTCTCTTTCCCTTTTCATCTCACTTTTCTTTACTAAAACGAATCTTTTTATTTTCAAAATGGCATCTTGATAATTATTGTAAAGTACAGTTTTGAAAAATTAATAATCGCATTGACATCATTTTCGACGATGTATCTCATTAAATTAACATGCATACAAAGCAAAATAAGAGTCGATGCAAATCACACCATACACGGAGAGAATTTTCTCTTATTAGAATTTATCCTGAAAATCATGGTAATCGTGGGATAATATGGTGTAGGAAAAATTTTATAAGAGTTTCTCTGATTAATATTTACTACATTAAAAATTATTAATATGAAACATAGTAAAATTAATCGAGTACATTTTTTTATTTATTGTGGTAGATATTAATATTTTTATTGTGGTAAATATTAATCAGAAAATTCTTATAAAATTCTTTCAATACCATTGTCCCACGATTACCATCATTTTAGAGTAAATTTTAAGAAAAAATTTTCTCTGTGTAGTATTCGAATACATCCTATCAAAATTTTACGTTTTTTAAAATAATCAATAAATGATAATAATGAGAGAGGGAGAGAGAGAGAAGAGAGAGTGAGTGAGTGAGTGAGGAACGTTATCATTTATGATAATAACGTTCCTCACTCTCTCTCTCTCTCTCTCTCTCTCTCTCTCGTTATTATCATTTATTGATTATTTTAAAAACGTAAATTTTGATAAAACGTATCCGAATACTACACATAAAAAATTTTCTCTTAAAATTTACCCTGAAAATCATGGTAATCGTGGGACAGTAAGGTACTGGAAGAATTTTATAAGAATTTTTCTGATTAATATTTACCACAATAAAAATATTAATATCTACCACAATAAAATAAAAAATGTACTCGATTAATTTTACTATGTTCATATTAATAATTTTTAATGTAGTAAATATTAATCAGAGAAACTCTTATAAAATTTTTCCTACACCATATTATCCCACGATTACCATGATTTTCAGGATAAATTCTAATAAGAGAAAATTCTCTCCGTGTATGGTGTGATTTGCATCAGACTCTTATTTTGCTTTGTATGCATGTTAAATTTTAATGAGATACATCGTCGAAAATGATGTCAATGCGATTATTAATTTTTCAAAACTGTACTTTACAATAATTAATCAAGATGCCATTTTGAAAATAAAAAGATTCGTTTTTAGTAAAGAAAGTGAGATGAAAAGGGAAAGAGAGAAAATAGTTGTCGCGGAGCTTTAGCGTTACGCGCCGTTCGTAGCCATCGCGTTCGCTCCTCCCTCCGCTTTGCCGCGCGCCGTGTATCGTGTGACAGGGGGCCGTCTCATCTCGTCGCGCGCTTAGATTGGCCGATCTTTTTTTATTTAATAACACAATAATTATTGCGAAAATCGCAAAACGGTAGAGGACTTTTCTATTCGGTTTAACTTACTCTACCTGCACACGACGGTTGAGGCGACCATTACCGGACACCCTGTATATATATATATATATATATATATATATCTGCAGAATAAAAATATTTTAATGTTTATTTTACCTGATTATTTCTATCGTTTTCAAGAAATTCAGTTGTGCTGTATAACTTTAGTTTACAGCGTTCTTCTTCAACCATTACAAAATTATGTAAGCAGAGCGATGCTGTTGTTATCAAATCGGCTGTTTTTGGCAGCATACAAATGGATTGTCGAAATATTCTCCATCTATTATCATTAAAAATTCCAAAGGCGCTTTCGACTGTTCGCCTAGCTCGAGAAAATCTATAATTGCATATTTTTTGTTCTTCATTTAAATTTCTTCCGGTATATGGCTTCATAATTCTCGTATTTAATGCAAAAGCATCGTCTGCCAATAAAAAGTTGGTGTACAGATTTGACTTCCAGGTAATTTGAATGTTTCTTTTGGTAGATTTAAGTTTTCATTTTTTAAATTTTCCCCAATTAATGAATCGTTAAAAATTCCGCCATCGCTGTTACCACCGTATGCACCAACATCAACTAACGTAAATCTATATACGTGGTTTGCCACTGCCATCAAAACAATACTATAATATTTTTTGTAATTATAAAAAAGACTTCCCGAATTAGGGGGACATTGCAAGGTATGTGTTTTCCGTCTACTGCCCCTATGCAATTTGGCACATTCCACCTCTTCCAAAATCCTTCAGCATACGACTTCCATTCTTCTTCATTTGGTTGTGATAGATACAGTGGTTGTAATACATTTATTAATATCTGACATACTTCTTTAATTAACATACGCATTGTTGATTCACCAATTCGAAATGATAGAGCGATAGACAAAGGAAGATCTCCAGTGGCAAGATATCTGAAATACATTTTTATTAAAATATCTATGTTATTAATTTATTTATTATAAAAAGATTATTAATTTTCCATTTCTCTCTCTCTCTCTCTCATTCTCTATTAAAGCATGTTTCGAGTAATAATTATTTTAGGCAATTTTTGTATATCTGACAAAAATAAATACTATTAATACTATTTAATATATTATTCAACATTTATATTTAGTCTAGAATACCTGTTTTAGTCTATCAGAATCTGTCTTTGTTACTTTAATAAATTTCTTTTTTATTGTTATTTCTACAAGATATAATTATTTTGAAAAAAAAAAAATAAAAAAAAGAATTACTTATAATTACCTTAATACTATTATCAATCTCTGTTCTGCAGGAAATGCTCGATAGCTATTTTTTGTTAAATAAGGTTCAGTTAATTGAAGTAATTTGTTAAATAAACATAAATTCATTCTTGTATAACGAAAAAATAAATATGTATCATTTTTTAATTCTTGGTAAAGTGTCTCATAATCTCCGTATTTGTATCTCAGTTGGTTTATTGGTCGCACGTACCATCTTCTTTTATACCATCTAATTTTTTTTTTTTCGTTTTAATAATTTTATACAAAAGCATCCATTGTAAAACAAGCAATAAAAATTGCTTATTTCTATACATCATTTTAATATACCTGAAATTAAAATTGTTTTCTGTAAAATAAATTAAATTAAATATTATACAAATTTAATAATTAACAAGATTTTTAAACATATATAATACTATTAAATCAAATAATATTTAATTTAATAGAACATTTTATTTATAAGTACATTAGATAAATTTCTTTGAACAAAAAAGTTAGGTTATATTCACAGTTATTGAAATATATTTCGAATATGAAATATTATTATTACATATTTATAAGTTTAAAATGTATTATGTCATAACTATTTATAAAATATTCATTATTAATTGTATAATAGAATTGTTATTTGTGTTTATACATATACATACGTTTACGTTTATTCCTTAAAACGTCGCGTATACTACACAAGACAGGAAACATTAACACAGTATTGTGCGTTACCTAAGACAAAGACTTAGGGCATAAAACAGTGTTTTAAGGTTATAAGTCAGCCATTCTGCTCAGGCCCTTAGTCTTACTGCTTACGTTTTTTTATGTGCCACGGGCTTAAGGGTCGGCAGTACACCCAGGCAAACTCCGAATTGATATTGGAGACCTCGTGCGGTGACAACGCGAAACTCCGGTTTCAGTGTTGCCAACGCCGAGAAACCAATTCTCGGGTTTTATGTAGTGGTGTATGTCTGTACACGTACATACACCACTGCATCGCTCACGCGGACGCACGTAAGAGAGACAAGGACCGATAATCACGTGTTCTCCTTGTTCCTCTACCGTGCCGGTATACGCGAGATGCCGCCTAAAAATGCTTTCTGGCCTTCCGTAGCAGAAAGCAGTAACGTAGCAAGACTAATAAGCACCCATTTTTGTAAATTTTATATATGCTTATGCACATATGTGGATATATTATTTATATATAAATATATATATATATAAAATATACTAATTTACTCTCAATTATATATGCTACTGTTATTATTTATCATTAGACAATTATAAAACAGAGGTTATAGATTTGGTCTGACTACACTGGCCTCAAATTAAAGTTGTATATATATTTATTTTAACGTTTCGACCATACGGGATGTGGTCCTTTTCAAAAATACAGATTGGAATATCAGAGAGTTACAGCATTTCGTCTTTAAGATGTAAGCGCAAATTATGATTCGGAGAGATTTAACTTGTCAAATAATAAAATATAAAATAAATTATAAAACATATACATATATAATTTGTAGTGCTATATATATATGTTTTATAATTGTCTAATGATAAATAATAACAGTAGCATAATTGAAAGTAAATTAGTCTACAATGTTAGACACGGGTACTTGTTAGATTTGATAATTTATTGCTTATACTTTTTCGAGAGACAAGAATAAGAGAACGAATATAAATTATTATTAGCTTGTATAGCAATCATAGATTGACGAATATGCGTTGGTTATTCTTGATTTCTTTTCTATTATTGATATTATTGTATAATTTGCTCCATAAATACTTATAACATAAAAGAACTTATGTCGAGTAATATTGATCAATGCAAAGGATGTTCAGTATGTATCACCCAGTAAATTATTAGAGTTCAAATATATCAATATCAATTTTTTAATAATATATTGGAATACAGAGAAATGATAAAAAAATATATTCGGCAATAAAAATTTTATAAATATATTGAAAATATTTTTACTACACGCGCGCGTGCGCACACACACACACACACACACACACACACACACACACACCCACATACACACTATATAAATGCAAAATAATACAGAAAATAAATTTTTAATAAAAATCAACATACCAGCTATTTGTGTGTGCATATGTAGCTGCAAGCATGCAACGGATTTATTACTTGATAAATTTATTTACGGACTTATTTTGCATTTATATATATATATATAGTGTATGTAATTGTAAAAATGATTAAAATATTTTCAATATTAAAAATTTTCAAGTTTATCGCCTTATATTTCTATAATTTTTCTATATTCTAATATATTGTAAAAAAATTGATATTGATATATTTGAACTCAAGTTTTTTACGTGATTGAATATTATTGCATTGAGCCATCATACGTTACTCGTAAGTTCTTTTACGTTATAATAGTGTTTATGTAGCAGAGAGAAAGAGATAAGAGAGAGATTATACAATATAACTTCAATAATCGAAAAAAATCACGATAACGCTATTGTCATATCTATGTGTGTGCATATATATAAACTTATATTATTATATTTTATAAATAAGTAAAATATTATGCAGACAATGTATACAATATAAAATGTTCAGTTTGTGCTATGCTTCAATCAATAACACTGGTCGACAAAAAATGACTTTTTTCAGGTTCGAAGATTTCCAAAGCGTATTTTTGTAGATTTTTTTCATGCCGATTACAAATTCGGCCGCAAAAATTGCGTATCACGTCACGTTTTTTAGATATCTTGATCTAAAGATGCAAAAATTCGTTCAACGCATTAGTGTTTGTGTCTACATGGATGTTACTACATATGCGATGTAAGAGAGACAAGGACAGAATGATAGTCTCTCTTTGTCAAGCTGTTAGCTGTCAGTATGTTACCACGGAAATTTCCCCTGCTCCTTATGAATCTAGTGAGAATCTTATCGTCCAGATATTTCATAAAATAAGTGACATAACTTTGGTTTTTTTTTTTTTTAATATATTCTTGATATAATAAAGTAGTCCGCCAAAGAGTCGGATTTTGCATTTTTGCTCTGAAAAATTTATAATAAATAAAATACGGACTCCTGGCTAACCCAACCTTACCCGTTACTAGCTGCGCATTCCTTCAAGTTATATTATAAATTTATTTTCATCTTTTTTCAATAAATAACTCTTTGGCGGACTGCATTTGAGCTTACTGATTAAGAATATCATAATTTAATAAGATTCATTCAGTAGTTTCGCTAATATCTGGATATAAGAATCTCTAATTCCCGGCCGGCCGATAGGCGTCTCCACCATGTCGCCTGCCGACCTTAAATCACCTATTATGAACCCGTCCTGAACGATCTTAAATATAAGATCAGACTATGAATTATGGGCCAAAGATATGAGGAGAAAGATACCTGTGAATTCTTTTGAGGAAGGCTCTTTAAATCGGGCAAGATTGTTTTCATATGACCTGAATAATACTAGCGTAAGCAATGATTCAAACAGTATAA